GGTAAATGGAAGTAACAAACCTAAAGATTTAAAGTAACATTGCATTATAGCCAGACTCAAAAAATAAAGGAGACTGAAAGAGGAGCTCTGTGTAAGCTCAAAAGCTTGCCTCTCTCACCAAAAAAAATTGGTCCCATAAAAGATGTTACCTCTCCGATCTTGTCTCAAAACAACAGACTTTTTTTTTTTGTTTCTCTTTCAAGTGTGGAAGGTTTAATCTTTGACTCCTAGACACATACAATCAGTGTTAAATCATACTAGCTTGAAAAGGTTGTATGGAATCCAAAATATCATACAAATCTGATTTTTGACATTTAAAAAAACCAACCTCCTCTCCCCACGCACTTACATTAATTCCTTTGAATCCCTTGTTTGTTGGCAGTAAAACAGTAAATGGTCCCAGACTACTTAGAGGCCATTCGTAGACATTTTCTTACAAGAAAAAACAAATGACAAAATGAATACCATGACGGATTGTGTGTTCTATGTTCTGTACAATGTAAAGTGTACTGTCAGTGCCAAAAAAGCAGAATAACAATACCTGTGATTGTTAAAATTTAACAGCTAAATAACTTGGTGATTGGCCTGGAATATGAGCAGCAAATTATGGATGGAATCCAAATCATCACTGCACCTACTATATATGGTGAGGCAAGCACATTTAGAACTGTTTTTGGTCGTCCAGCTTCCATGGAACAGAACCCAGTGCAAGTCTTGAAAACTGGGTTTCCTCAGCCTTGTATTAGTTTCTGTCCAGGAACAGGCTTGCTATTTGAAATAAATCTGGCCCTCTGGGGAGTTGCCAATTAACTGCTGGTAGTGCAAATATCAGAGAACACATAGCTAGGTAATAAAAGTTAATTTGCTATTCACGGTGACACATCATTTGCAAAACAGCAGTTTCACTGCACTGATTCTATGGTTAAGCCCTTTAATAGTTTCACTATTAAGCCCTGTTTTCAGAGGTTTAAAATTATAACACAGCTGAGTGAAAAATGCACTTTTGTTCAAACCAAAACCATTTGTGAGTTTGTCATGAATTTGCTAAATAGTTTTGGCCAACAATTTGTGGGCGCTAGATTCACAAGGGGACTTAGACAACAATGGAGAAGGAGGAGCACCTGTAACCTTTAGCTCAGTGATTGGGGACCTCACCTAGGATATGGGAGACCTAGATTTGAATTTGGGATGGGATTCGGTCTCTCCTGTTGAAGCTGTTTCACTGTATATAAAATACTAGAAAAGACAGTGAGCCCCTGTGAGAAGGGTTCTATACCCTGGTGGTTAGGGCAGTCACCTGGGATGGGAGGAGCCCTGTGTTAAGTCCCTGTTTCAGAGCAGGAATTCAGACCTGAGTCTCCCACATCCCAGGTGAGTGCCTTAGCCACTAGATTAAAGGTTATAAGCACCAACACCTCCTCCAGCTGTTTTGTGAATCTAGCCCTTTAAAAATGCCCAGAAACAAAACATTTCCAGTTGAATTAAACGTTTGTTCAATGCGAAATGTTTGTTTTTACCAAAACTCTGAACAATTTTGTATTTAATTCGGGTCAAAATGACTTTTTTCCTGTTTTTTTTCAGAACTGGCAGTGAACCAAAAAATCAGTTATTCACCCAACTCCAATTATAACACAACAGTAAAAGTTTACTGACAGAGCACGTTCGTCTTTTTGGAGTTTATCACAGGTATTGTGTACTCTAGAATAAATACACAAATGTAGTTTTAGACGCTATAATTTGACTGGAAGATGCAGAATGTGTAGGTTATTTACTTTTTATTCTTTAAAAGATATTAACATGCAGTTAATGTGTAAAGCAAAGTCACCTGTGCAGTTAACATGCATGTGTCATAGGTTCTCAGTGCTGGCAAAATGAAGGGAAACATTCATGCCCCAGGATTGGTTAAGGGGAAAGATGGCTTGTTGTCTCAATGTTATTTTTTGTTTTACAGCAGTACCAAAAAGCACGAGCCAAGATCAGGGCTCCATTATGCTGGGCACTGTATAAACACATATGTCTACCCTGCAGCTGGGAGGTGTAATTCCCAGCTCGGGCAGACATACACATGCTAGCCAGCACCCTCAAAATAGCAGTGTGGCTGTGGTGGCAGCTCAGGCTACATGTCCGTGTACATGTAACACCGACAGACCCCAGCTGTCATCAGCGAGGATCAAACCTGGGACCTCTGGAGCTTAATGTGTGAACCAAAAGATACCTGTCTTTTAGCCAAGGCTGTAGCAGGCTCTTTAATCTCTAGTTGGTCTAGGTGCCACTAGAGGGGGACAGAGTTTCACACCAAGCAGGCATGGGTTACATACCAACCTAGGGTCTTGGATGGACTGTACTCAGAGAGCTGGCATGAACTGCTGCCCGTGCTGCCACTAGCTTGAACAAGACAAGCATATATATGTCTACCTGAGCTGGGAATTATACCACCTCCCAGCTGCAGTGTAGATATACCCATAGTGACACACAGGATCTTAGTCTAATTAGCCAAGACAGGCACGGGGCGGGAGGGAAAGCGTAGGCACAGAGAGGGGAATGTGACTTGTCCAAGCTTACACAGCAGGTCAGTGGCAGAAGCAGGAATAGGACCAGCTCCCCTGACTGCCAGTCTAGTGACCTATTCTTTGGACCATATTGAAATTTTGTTATGCTTGAGTCATGATACAATCTTCGGATTTTTTTTTTTGGAGCACAAGGCCTGGATTTAGAGACCACCCTACGGCTCTGTTGCCCTAAATAACTGAACAATGTCCGTGCCTGCTAGCTTCAAGTCATCTATTTGATGTTACTGACACCTAAAACTGCTGTCAGTCGTTCCCACTGTCCCGCCGGACATTGACATATCTAAAGGATTAAAGGATAGGTAAAGATTGGACCAAGAGTAGGGGAATATACAGCACAACAAATGAGGTGAAACTCTGGCAAATAACCCAGATGCAAAATATTCCTATTTTCACTGCAAAAAGTAGGTCTATTGGCAAAAATTACCACATTTTATCCTTAGCCAAATGTAGGATCTTTCCATTCTTCTCTGGGGAGGCATTCAGAACCTTGCACAGATTTATTGCAATAACTGGGCATAGTGAAGAGGATTATGCAAATAATTTATCTCTGTATTTCCTGCTTTTAGGGATTTAACTCAGACATGTAACATCATTTTGGGACTATCTGTCTGTAGCTTCAGTTTTTTAAGATTGTGACAGAAGACAATGTATTTTCGTTGCCCTCCTCGTGAGATGCTTGCAATAACTGGCTTACTCAGCCACCTGAACTTTTTGGATTCCGATAAAATGGGATCCAGATGCAAGCCATCCTGGGTATGGAGTTTGGCTTTGCAAAACCAAAAGCATCCTAGATTTTTTCCCATCAGTCTCCTTTATAAAAGGCAATTCACAAATAAGTCACATTTCATTTTATTCACCAAACACAGCTCTGTACTCCATATGAAGAATCTGCCCTAGCTTCCAAATTCTTTGCTCTCTTCTCTCCAGCAGTTCCCTCCACTGTCACCATCCTTCCTGTTTTCCTCCACTTCCAGCCAGGCCTCTTCCCCCCCCATTCCTCTTTTAGTAACAGTATTAAAAACATCAGAAATGCCAAAATTTCAGCAGCACATCTGCTTTATAATGGCCAAAGCTGTAGCTCACTTGTGGGATTGTATATTTTTTCCTGATATCATTAGACTTTACAAAGTATCAAGCTGCCTTGGCAAGGGGTTGGAAATTATGACCGAATATAGTGGTAGGTCTTTGTTCTGTCTGTAACATGTATCATTTCATCTGGCTTGTGCCATCAGCATAACACATGATTTGACACTATGCAGTACAATAACAGCTGTTTTGTATAGTGGTAGCAAAGTAAATGTAGCGTTAAAAGTAGATAGAGCAAGATGCTGGAAGTCAGGATTCCATGTATACCCAGCTATATCTTTGACCCCACTGTATGACTTTAAGAAAATCACTTTACTTCTCTGTGCTTCATTTTATGCCTCTGTTGAATGAGGATAAGAACACTTCCCTACCTCAAAGGGGGATTATATTTGTTTAATATTTATAAAATGCTTTCAGCTCCTTCAGTGGGAGGTGCTGTGGAAATGCTAAGTGTCATCTTATCTATAAAATCTCCGTGTCAGAGCTGAGTCTGACACGGTCTCAGTCTCTTTGAGTCCACTGAACGATCTATGCTTCCTTTCACACTACTGAGCTGCCACAGGTAGTCAGAGAATCCTACTGTCTGCTCTGTAGAAGTGTTTAGCCATGAGTAGGTGGCTAATAGGAATCTTGCTGCAATCTAGTGCCGTTAGAGGTAGCCCGGGAAGGGCTGCTTCCAAGGGCTGTGCACTCATTTGAAGGACCTGTGGCAATAGTATTTCCAGCCCCAAAGGCCAGTTGTGAGTAGGTGTGACTGGACGCCAAGTTACCTGTGATCTTAGTGAAAATTCATTAACGAGCCTTCAACTCTAGTGATTGGTTTACACCAGTTTGCATTTTCAAGGCTCTTTTTGCAAGGAATAGAGCTAGAAATGTATTTCTTAAACAAATATAAACTGTGATTCTTCTTTCCTTTTCTAAGTCCCTCCAATTAGGGAGGTCCTCCAGCCCATGTGCTCTGGAAGCCCACCAAGGTGAGATCTAAATGCAGAATGTATCAAAATAAGCAAGTCCAAGAGCCACCTTTTGGAGACGTCTCTCAACATGATTAGAAGAATAGACTCAAGTGAGATCAGTGGAAGAGGAGCCTCTTTTTCCACGCAGAAATTGTGTTCTCATTCTTAATTTCAGAATTTGGGCTGAGACTTATCTTAATTCACATGGTATTCTTCTAGAAGGCTTGCCAGAGCCATTGCAATCACCTGTCACTCAGCCTGACTAAACTAATGAAACACTATATACTTCAAGGGCTAGTTAACAGGGACAGAGTGAGGTACCCTCACACTTTTGGTAGTCTTGGGAGTTTCTAGGCTTCAGGCTAAATGTTGTTTCTTTGCTGACAGCTCTTCAGACTAAATCTGCATTCTTTTCCTTAGGTACCTACCAATGAGTGCTATGGCAGATGTCAGTTTTCCTTGCCACTGTCCTCCCGGTTCAGTGTTCAGGTCTCTGATGCGTTCCATTATATTCCCATAGCATACAAACCCATCACCTACATAACCCTTCTGGCAAGTACACCTGTGAAAAGAACAAAATTTACTTTCAGCATCAGTTGGATACATATACTGTTGTATCAGTAAAATTTTAACCAGACCTAACTGAATTGTTGGGAATCACTTATCTGAGTTCCAACATTTTGATGATTTGCAAATATATTTCATTTCCCTTTTTGATCAGTTCTACAGACTGTCAAATAGCACTTGATTAATAAATGATTCCTCAGTTTTCTGTCACTTATCATATAAAGTTAATACATTTATTCAGGGGTGGAGGGATAGCTCAGTGGTTTGCACATTGGCCTACTAAACCCAGGGTTGTGAGTTCAATCCTTGAGGAGACCATTTAGGGATCTGGGGCAAAATCAGTGCTTGGTCCTACTAGTGAAGGCAGGGGACTGGACTCAATGACCTTTCAAGGCCCCTTCCAGTTCTATGAGATAGGTATATCTCCACATATTCGACCAGCAGTAATTTTACTTCACTGCAGTAACAGTGTTTGTGTCCTATCTTAGCACAAGACCACACAAGGTGATGAAACTGAAGCCACATGACATTGAAGCAAAGATAGAGTTCCAAAATTAAAGTCTATTTGCCAGATTTTATAGTTTCTTTAAGCTAAACTTCTCTGGTCTTGTCTATAAAGAGGTTTGATATGAGCTCGCTGATCACCAAGCTGCAGCTACATACATTTGAAGCCATGTTTTTATCTGCCATAATGTACACTGTATCTCGGTTACATATTGGCAGTTATTTTTGTCAGCATTACTGATGGTTTAGCATAGTCCTTCTACAGTCATTATGATATGAAATCACACGCTTTCATAGTGTGGGTTTCTGTCCGTCCTCAATGTGTGCGCTACTGCTCTCTATTGGATGGAATGTAGCATCTGTTCAACTACCTAATCAGGTTGCCCGCTAGAGGCTCCACCCTCCAGAGGATGTTAGACCTTGCACTGTTACAACTGCACAACCACAAATGTTTCTTGAGTAGCTGCTAGTGTACATAAATGGTTACGGTTTTTCAAAAGCAAGTAGCAATTTTGGGTGCCCAACTTTGAGACACCTTGAAGGGGCTTGATTATTAGGAGGGCAGATGCTCAATTCTTTCTGAAAATCAGACCCCTTTAAGGTGTCTCAAGTTGGGCACACAAAATCATTAACTGATTGTGAAAATCTTCCTAGGTTGCCTCTTCACTAATGCTGCCACTAATATTTTGCACTTGGTAGATTGCCTGCAGGCTCGGCTGTGTGGTTTAAGCAGCGACCGTGGCTGAAATTAAAAAGTCAACCATAACACCCTTCCCAGTTAAGTCTCAAGCAAGTTACATTATCAGATGAGCCTTGTATTTAATGATTCATCTGGCTGAGTTTTCTACAAGCATCATTAAAGGAGTGTTATTCCACACAATCAAAAGAATCTTCTTTATATGATCAAACAACCTCAAGGTGTCCACCTCCTATTTATATTTATTACACATGCACATCTTCTGCCAATCACCCCCCCCCCCACATGTAGCGTAGTGTTAATCCAGAACCAGATGGTGCTCTGTCCCCCCTGACAGCTACCTCCAAGGTAACACCCTTCTTGCCCTAAAGTCCACAGAGTCATCCCTGAGTCTGGAGAACTAGAAGTTTGGAAGGAGATCTGGGATTGTGATCAAAGGGGCCCGTGTATTGCCCTCTACCAACGCAGTGGAAAAACAGCAGGAACGTTAATTCAGACTAATGGCCGTATTACTTTTCCTGGGAGGCCCTCTATGCTGGTGAGCCCTCCCCCTCTTTAAGAGGACCCCTAGGGCATCTGCACTGCCACAGAGCCTGAGTGGGGAGCAGGGGACTCCAGATCTGCTGCAGAGGCACTGGTCCTCTTTGCCTTGAAACATTTGGGGCTGAACCCTTCTTTCTGTGGGGGAAGGGGAATGGTTGGGCAAGTCTCAGGCTGTGGGTGAAAGAATTCAGAGTTTCCTAGAATCTGGGCTTTAAAAAAAGCTGAGAAACAACTTGGCAGGAGAAGCAGGTTTTGAAATAATACAGAAATCAGATTAAGACTTGTAAATTAATGCTGCCTTCTTTTACAGCAAAGGCTTGTCAAGGAAGAGATTGCTGACCACATTCATTTGTGGTCGTTTCTAGAGTCACGGTGCGCTTAGAAATGTGGGCTGTGCATTGTGGTTTGAAATTTAATTTAATTTATTCAGAAAAATACCACCTCTGACTGTGCAGAATGGAGTTAGAAGCCAATTTTTTGGTTTGGATTTGGGTGCTGCAGAAATAAAGATTTTGCAATTATAGCTTCTGCTTGGGAGCAAAGCTTCCAATTTGAACTTCCCTTGACTTTTAAATGACTTAATTTATCTCTGTGTGTTGGGGCAGGGAGCAGCCAGGGAGTTGCCTATATGGGGTAACTTTTGTCTCTTGTTTGGAGCATGTACCTGGTGCAATCTGTAAAGTCTTTCAATGTGTATGGATGTGTTTGTTTTACTTTGAATGGGTCTGTTTCAATCCACTGTTTTCCATTAGGGATGGGAACAGCTAGGGAGAAAGAGGCCTAATGCAAACCAGGCATGGTTATTTTTTAATCTTTGTTGTGGAAATGAAACAGAATGGGGAAGACTCACTGCACCAGTCGCCGAGGGATGGGAGTTGTGGGGGAGTGCTGCTTACCCAAGCTAGGGAGTGGGGAAGTATCTCTCTCTCCTTTTAGCAGAGAAGAGAGAGAGAGTTTCCCTGCTTCTCCCCCATACTTTAGCCCCTGCCTATAGGAAAGAGGTGTGGCTACTTAACCAGTGTTTTTTATTTTAGGAACAGAGTCAAAATAGAGAGAAGTAAAAAAGCAGAAGAGAAAAGTCAGGGAAGAGGTTTATATGCTCCAGCAAGAGGGCATGGATTGGGGGCCCCATTTTGCTTGGCATTGCCCCAAAGAGGTTACAATCGAATGTGCTCCCAATAACCAGCCCTGTTAACTAGCTGAGCTGCCATATTCTGCACCAGCTGAAGTGTCTTAGTGGCCTTCAGCGGCATAGCTGTATGGAACTTCTGTCTTGAAGAAATGTTATTTCATTTTTTTTTAACACTAGTGCAGAAAAGACCTATGTGGGAACAGAAACAGACAGCAATAGTCTGTGTCCAAGCTACTGCTATTTTATAACCCCCAAACTACAGGGACGGTGTCTTCCTCTAAGCATAGAGCTTCCACAGGAAGCTGAAGTGACTGAGTCAGCAGACCAGCAGTACAAAGGTGCATTTAAAAAAAAAAAAAGGAGGTGACACAATGGAAGCTTACAATTTCCAGTTATGAGAGAGCAACAAAACATTCTGGGTCTAGCTCGGGGCCACCACAATAGCTTATTTTCAAGGGTAACAAAGGAAGAAGAGCTGGAAGTTGGAGACAAATAGGTTTAAAATTTGAGCTACAGTCAAACACAAACCAGTGGCATCGCTTCCCTCTGTACTTGTGATACAACAGCAGCCTCGGTAGCACTTTATTAGGGCTGTGCCCACATCTAGCTATCATAATTTGCATTCAAATCTTTTTTTGTTTGACTATAAATGGCTTTCCCCACAAACTGGAAGTTTCAATCTTTTCAAAAATGTCCAGCTTTTTGGGGACATCTAGAATTCCCTCCCATCGCTCTTTTTGCCACAGAATGTAATCAAATGATGTGCAGAGGGATTTGTTTTTTTCTGAGTTGGAAAATGTAAAATAAAAACCCTTCTTCAACTCTTGAAAAGTTCAAGTGGCCAAATGAAAAATGATAAAGCCTGAAAGAGAACCCCTGGACATCATTCATTTTACTTTCTACTACTTTCTTGCTGGGTGAATTTTATTTTTACTAGTTTAGATTGTAGTGCCAGAGTTGCAATGCTGGTTCCAGAGTTAGCCCAGATATTACATTTTCTAAGAGTTTTCTGTTTCAGATCCCACCTAATAGATGATCTCCTGTGATCTTCCTTACCAATAAAATCATAATGCTCCACTTGTTCATACAGGGACTAAAAGGTTTCCATGCTTTCCCTGGGCCTCTGCTTCCTTTGGTAAAAGTAATACCATTCATGTGTCTATTCTTTAGTGGTATGAAATGGCCAGCAGACTTTTAAAGAAAGAAGTCATAGTTATCTGTTTCTCTTTATTCAGTGAAGGCAAATGATTTATAAATATTTTCAGCTTCATTCCCTATTGCATAAATTACTGATCTGATCTGTACTTTACTGCTCTGTTACTACTCTCTACTGCTCCTTCTACTCAGGCCACGTTGTGGGCTTATGTAACTGAAAGTCCTCTGCAGGGCTGAAGTTTGAATTATTTTTTTTAAGAAATTCTCATTTTGAACTAATTTTGAAAAAAAAAATCCAATTGAAATTGTCAAAACATCCAATTTCAATATTTTCTCAATGAAAAGTTCCATTTTGAATTTGAAACCACTTTTTGATTTGAAATCTAATGAATTCATAGAAAAAATGTAAATAAAAATATTTAAAAGGTAAAAGTAAAACCAAACCATTTCAAAATTATGAAAATGAAACATTTTGTTTGACCTGATTTGAATTTTTTTTTCCAGATTTTTGGTTTGTGAAATTTTTTGAGAATTTATTTTTGTTTTAAATCTCAAAAACTTTCACGGGATAGGAAAACTGTTTCCCACCCAGCTCTACTTCTGTGTCGTTATCACCAGGTAGATTATGAGGTACAGAGAAGAGGCTGTGTAACCTGCTCCACAGGTGGGCAGAGAAACATTCTGTATAAACTTGTACTAAATGCACAGTCATTTATAATAGAAAAGTTCCATTAATATTGTTAGGACAACCAGCACGAGAATGCAAAAAATTGATAAGGTGTCCTCTTCTTAAACCAAGAATTGCCTTTTTGCTAAGTGTGAACCCCTATATGGAAAGTATTTTTGACACCAGACAGGAATTATTACCCTGTATTATCAGCCATATTGTAATCCTAAAAAGCAACACTACAAATAAACTCTTATAAACCAAACATTAGTCATATTACAACGTCTCTGGAGAGTGAAAAGAGTTATAGTTTAACTCTTTGTTTTAATACTGTGTTCTAAGGTTTTGCATTAAGCTACAGTACATATTCTCTGTAGCATTATACTGTATAATTCTTTGCTAATATACTGTGCCTCCATCTACGATACCACCATACTTGTTTGATCCAAAACCTATTGAAATCAGTGAAAGAGCTCCCATTTACTTCAATGGACACTGGATCAAGCTAGAAATGAGAAATATAAATACAATGTCATATAAACACTCTCTTCTCGCAACACTCAACTATCTTGCTGTTCCTGATACTGTACCAAGCATTATTCCTGCACTAGTAGCACAATCTAATATGCTCCAAAGTTTTATAAAGTTACTTTGTAAAGAAACTGTCAGTGATACACTGAGAATTGCTCTGCCATCTCTTTTTCCTTAATAGCCTATTTACTGAATAAAATATTTAAGAAGGAAAAAGACTTACACAATTTGTCCCGGCGCAACCGTAGTGCATTTTGCATTTTTATGGCATGTGTTGTTAGTCTCACAGATATCTGTCATACTGCATCCTTTTCCAGGTACTAAATTTCTGTAATGTTCTTTGCATTCACAGTGGGACTAAATCGGGGAGGAAGACAAAAGTTAGCTTGTATTTCAGATTTCATTAGTGACTTGCTATTTTCAGCATTTTTCTGTCACAAAAGCCAGGGCAAGGATTTAAAGACAACTTCAAAAGGCTCAGGTAAGCACCCAGCAAATTCAGATGCATATATGTGGCTTATCCAGATTTATTCAACCCTTTTCTAGATTTTATCCATCCTAGAAAATTTCTGGCTTTCAAATGATATCCTTAAAAAAGAAATAAAATTATTTAGGTGCCATTGCCTTACAAGGCGGTATTTATTAAAATCAGTGCCAATAGGTCAAATTTATAATCAGTGTTCACATAGACCTTTTCTTCCCGCAAAAGATCACAAAGCATTTAATCAACTACATTATATGCATATAACATCACTGAAATGCAGCCTCCCCCCTCCCCCGCCCCCCGGAATAGTGAAGGCCAACAAACCAGCACACAGGGGACTGCAAAATAGTTAGGAGCAGGCAAAATGTATGGGCAAGGACTCCAAGCAAGCCCCACCTCTTAAAAAAAGTGCTGTGGGAACATTAATGTCTATTTAGAACAGGTGAGACCTTTGAAAGCCTCACTTGATCAATGGAGGGAATTTTACTACAGACTGTTTGTCTCAGGTAGCCAGCAGAATTAATAATACCTAGCTCTTGTACAGTGCTCTTGCATCAGTAGCTCTCAAAGTGCTTTATAAAGGAGGTTGGTATCATTTCCCCCTTTTGTAAACTGGGGATACAGGGCACAGAAAGAGAAAATGACTTGCCCAAGGTCACCCAGCAGGCCACGGCAGAGCTGGGAATAGAACCCAAGTGCCTGTCGAGAGCTTTATCCACTAGGCAAGACTGTCTCCCCACAGGGAAAAACCATTCTTGGTCCTAGTCAGTTGATTTTGGAAATGCCATGGGCGCCAGTTCAGTACTTACCTTTCCTGGACCATCATATCTGCAAATGGTAGACTCTGTAGGGCAATTTCCGAACATCCTTTGGCAAGGATCTATTGGTAAGCAGACTTGGCCATCCCCTCTGTAACCTTCTTGGCAAACACATTTATGACGATTAGGTCCAAGATAGGTGCAATAAGCATTCGGATCACAGACCTTTTTCAAGCACGGGTTGATAGCTTGAAAAACATTAATAAAACAAATTAATAATTACCCAAAAGTTGCAAAAGTAAGGGGGTAGTGGAGCCTATACAATGAACTGCCTAGAATAGCTAAGTCCAGAGTATTGTATCAACATGAAGATATGAGATTGGAACCTATTTATACCAACATAGCAAACAACTATCTGTGTTTTTGTACATAAGTGACCTTTAAAGTTGGCATGTTGAGTTATTACCCAATTAAACCTACAATAATGCATTCATTTAAAAAATCTTAATTATAACTATTGCCCGCTTCTTTGATGAATTGTGATCATAGAGGATCAAGTAGGTGACATGACTTAAAATAACTGCCCTAAGGCATGTTAGATTAGTAGGAAAATGTCACTCAGCAGAATGGGTCTTCCAAACCCAAGCTTTATACAGCAGGGATGGAGCCGTGGTTCTCAACCTCTCCAGACTACTGTACCCATTTCAGGGGATCAAGCCCGAGCCGTGCCCCCCAGGGTTGAAGCATGTAACTTAGCTTCGCGGGGCCCGCTGTGGTGTGGGGCCACAGGCAGTTGCCCTGCTTGCCACCCCCTATCGCTGGCCCTGCACTTGTGACACCCCTAAACCCTTCCTGTGACCTGCCCTGGGGGTCACAACCCCCAGGCTGAGAAACATTGACCTAGATGAGTTGATGTACCCCCTGGAAAACCTCTGTGTGCCCCCGGGGGGTATGTGTACCCCTGGTTGAGAGCCACTGGGATAGAGGATTGGCTCATGAATGCTTTAGTCCATTTCCTCCATACTGCTGTAGAGTTAGGGCCAGATTAGGAACCCAACAGTTACATGCGTAGTTCCATTGAAGTCAGTGGTATTACTCCTGTGAGTAACTGCTCACCACTGAGAGTTAGCTGTTCAAGATCTGGCCCTTCATCTGTAATACTGATAGTAGCCAGTGGGGAAACTAAAGCACAAGTGGTTGCCTGTGATTTCAAAGTGAGTCATCTTATCTGAATTAGTTCATCCATCTCTGAACCAACTCACTATGTAGTTTAAAAAACTGAACATAGTGGCAAATTTTGCCATTAGTACCCTAGATAAAATATAATATATAGCGGGATATAATCTCTCTTGCTTTAAGCCATAGGACAGCCACTGACTGATGGGAGATAGGAAGAAACTTCTCTGACACAGTTTCTTGAACTTTCTCCTGAAACATCAGGCACAAGCCACTGTTGGAGGCAAAATACCAGATGAGAGGGATCTCAGGTCTGATCCAGGACCACAATTACTGTATTACTAGATAAACACTATTGAGTCTTCAGCACCATAATTGGTTAGAATTATTAGAATAATAATGTATTGTTATGTATTAATGTAATAGAATAATTAGAAATAAATGTTTCTTCATGACAAAATACCCAGACCTGTGTGTCAGTGCTGCAGAACTTTCTGTTGGGGGAGGAAAAACTGTCAATTTGACTGTTCAAGTGGCACGGCAAGGGTAGTAAAGACCACATTGGGGAAAACCTTTCACTCCAGCAGAGATTGTAGAACTTTGATACTTCATCAAGAATTGGAAAAGTAGCATGCGCTCGATTTGTCTGTAATGTTTGTATTTGGGATCAGTCATGCAGCTGAGGCACCATGCGGTGGGACCTCTCTCAGCGAATGTAAATTGTTGTTCACCTGGGCTGATTTTATGGAAGCAAACTGGGTGGCCATGGCCCACCAGGCTTCACAGCTACTTACGTTCGCATTGTTTACCATCTCCATGGTAATTGGGAAGACATGTACACTCCAATTTGGTTTCATCTTCACTAGAAATAGAGCATCTGGAGTTTTCAGGGCACTGTAAGGCCTCACACTCAGGTATTGCTGGAGAGAAAGAAGGCAAAAGGTTATACTGTGGCTGAACATCACACTAATGAACATTACACTCAATCCTTCTGCTGTTCAAGAACCAATGCAGAGTATAGATGAGCAAGGCACTGTTGAGTGGTGATGTGGCCACTGTTAGTGGTGATCAATGATGTAATGATGCAGTGATAATGATAATGGCTCTTCGCTAGGTTTAGATGTGACGGGGTTTGAGTTGGGGTGTGTATTTTGCTGCTGTACTTTCATGTGCATTAAATGAATATATTTAGCTCTCACCAGCAGCCACCATAAAGAAGTTGGTGACTGTGCTGGAAGAAAAACATTATACTTACCCTGATCACAGTTAAGCCCTTTGTATCCAGACAAACAGGTACATCCTCCATCCCCTGTAATTCCACTGTTGCATACTCCATGAGCACAGTTGCAAACTATATGTAGAAATGGATTGGTTTTGGTAAATAAGTTAGTGGATTTGAAACAAGGTCTTCAGTGGTTTTTCATGCCACTAATGTTTTAGATGCAGTAATTAAATACTACCATTTTTGACAAACTTGGTGCGATTTTCAAACATGGGTGTTACGGGCTTTGTACTGGGATGCTCAAGTCCCACCCCTGGTTACTGAAGCAGACCTGTTGGGGCCTAAAATGGGTGTCTGAGTATAGAGGTGCTGATTAGAACATGCTGCTAGTGACCTGGATGGCCTAACTTTACTCAGATTTGAAAATGGGACCCCAGCCTTTAAACATCAAATGGAACAGTTCCCATGCTAATATCAAGGGGCACAGAGGGGAGAACATTAGCCACTTTAAGGGCATCCATAAATAGGTCAAACTCTGGAACAGGTTTATTTAGTCCTTCCACTGTTTACATTGGAAGGAAAAAAATCAACATTTCTAGGGACAAGGAGTGCACAGAATTCTGTGGCTAACAATTTTCACGCACAAAGTTGCACATATACAAATTCCAGACAATGCTGAGGCCCCTTTGAAAATTTGTCCCTAAGGGTACGTCTATACTTACCTCCGGGTCCGGCGGTAAGCAATCGATCTTCTGGGATCGATTTATCGCGTCTTGTCTAGAAGTGCTCGCCATCGACGCCGGTACTCCTGCTCCACGAGAGGAGTACGTGGAGTCGACGGGGAGCCTGCCTGACGCATGTGGACCCGTGGTAAGTTCTAACTAAGATACTTCGACTTCAGCTACGTTATTCACGTAGCTGAAGTTGCGTATCTTAGTTCGAAGTGGGGGGTTAGTGTGGACCAGGCCTTAGACTAGGTGAACTTTTAAATGTTTTACCAGTATAAAACAGTATAATTTTTTTTACTGAAAAAGTTATACTGGTAAAGCCCTAGTGTGGATGCAGTTATGTCAGTATAAAGGTGACTTATACTGGGACAGTTTATTCCCTTTCCTATATGGGAATAAGCTCTATCAGGGGTTCTCAACCTTTTTCTTTCTGAGCCCCCCCCCACCCTCTCACATGCTATAAAAACTCCACTGCCCACCTGTGCCACAACAGCTGGTTTTCTGCATGTAAAAGCCAGGGCCCATGTTAGGGGTAGCAAGCAGGGCAATTGCCTGGGGCCCCATGCCACAGGGGCCCCCACGAAGCTACATTGCTCAGGCTTCAGCCTCAGGTGGCGGTGCTCAGGGACTGGGCTTCAGCCCCATGTGGTGGGGCTTTGGCTTTCTGCCCTGGGCCCCAGCGAGTCTAATGCTGGCCCTGCTTGGAGGCCTCCCTGAAACCTGCTTGAGGCCCCCTAGGGGATCTCGGACTTCTGGTTGAGAACTACTGAGCTATACCAGTATAAGCACCTTTATATCTATCTATATCTATATCTATATATCTGCATCTACTCTAGGGGATTGTACTGTTTTAGCTATATCAATATAGTTAAATTGTTACAACTTTCTCGTGTAGACAAGCCCTAAGGTCTTAATGCACAACAGGAGTTAAGTGTCTTAAGTCCCTATTTCAGGCACCTAAGTCCTGGTTTCAACACCACTACGATGCACCCCTCCCCACGCCAAACCCTGTAGGTGCCTAAGTTTTTCAAGTGAAAATTCTCTGGGTGCCTATGTCTATGTCTCTGTCTCTGAAAGTGTGCCCTACTGCCTCTCTCTAGACATCCTGGCACCTATCTCCCACCTAAGCCCCAGACTAATTTCACGAACAAAGGGAAGAAAGGCATTAAGCCTCCTAGGTCATGTGTAGGCCATTGGGCTTGTCAGGTTAGTTCACACAAAACTGACTGGGGAGTGGCGGCGGCAATCCCTCATAACTTTTAGCCTAGTTGTTAGGGTACACATCTGGGACATGGGAAATCCCTGGTTCAAGTCACCACCAGGGGAGGCGGGATTTGAAGTGGGGTCTGCCACCTCTCACCACCAGGCTGTGCTCTCTCGCTCTCTCTCTCTCTCAGGGAGGGAGAGAGAGAGCACCAAAGAAAGAGGGCCTAAGTATGAGAATAACCCTATAGCCTGGGGGCTAGGGCATTCCCACAGAATATGGGAGACCAAGGATCCTCTCCCTCTTTATTTATATACAGTGGAACAGCTTCAACAGGAGACACTGAGGGAGGCTCACATCAGACTATCCTATAGCTCAATGGTTAGAGCATGCTCCTGAGAGATGAGATAACTCATGGTTCAAATCCCTTCTCCTCTCAAGCAGAGGGGAGACTTGAAGTGGAGGGTCTCCCACAGCTAGGGTTGCCAAATGTCTAATCACACAAACCCCAACACCCTGTCCCGCCTCATCTCCAAGGCCCTGCCTCTCACTCCATCCCCCCTCCCTCGGTCACTTGCTCTCCCCCACGCTCACTCACTTTCACTGGGCTGGGGCAGGGGATTGGGGTGCGGGAGGGGATGTAGGGTGCAAGATCTGGGAGGCAGTTTGGGTGCTGGAGAGGGCTCAGGGCTGGGGCTGAGGGGTACGGAGTGTGGGAGGGGGCTCTGGGCTGAGCCTGGGGCACAGGGTTGGGGTGCAGGGTGCAAGATCTGGGAGGGGGTGCAGGGTGCAAGATCTGGGAGGGAGTTTGGGTGCTGGAGGGGTCTCAGGGCTGGGGCAGGGGGCTGGGGTGCAGGAGGGGGTGAGGGGTGTGGGCTCTGGGAGGGAGTTTGGGTGCAGGAGGGGGCTCCAGGCTGGAGAAGGGGGTTGGGGTGCAAGAGGGGGTTTGGACTGCTGGCTCCGGGAGGTGGCTCAGGGCTGGGGCAGGGGGTTGGGGTGCGGGAGGAGATTTGGGGTGCTGGCTCCAGGATGGGGCAAGGGGTTGGGGTGTGGGCAGGGGTGAGGGGTGTGGGCACCGGCCAGCGGCGCTTACCTCAGGTGGCTCCTGGTCGGTGGCACAGCGGACCTAAGGCAGGTTCCCTGCCTGCCCTGGCTCCGCACTGCTCCTGGAAGCAGCCAGCATGTCCCTGCAGCCCCGGGAGGGGGGCAGGAGGCTCCACACACTGCCCCTGCCTGCAGGCACCACCCTCACAGTTCCCGTTGGCTGCAGTTCCCGGTCAATGGGAGCTGTGGAGTTGGCGACACAGGGACACGCTGGCTGCTTCTGGGAGCGGCGCGGGGTCAGGGCAGGCAGGGACTTTTAGCAGCCTAAAATCTCCCAGTTTGGCTTCAGTAGCCTCTGGGAGATAGAGCCTGATTCTGGGAGACTCCCGGCGAAACCGGGAGGGTTGGCAACCCTACCCACATCCCAGCTGAGTGGTCCAACCACTGGTAAAAAAGTTATGAGAGAAGTTCTCCCTCCCCCATCACTTCTTTGTGTGATCTCACCTGAGGGGCCCAATCTAGTAGATGGCTTCCAAGCATGCCTACTGGATTGGGCCCTACATGTGACCACTCACTCCCAGCTTTTTGCTAAAGCATCATAAGGCATCTAACTCCAAAGAGAGCTCCCAGCTGTGAATTTCAAGCAGAAATAGGCACCTCCCTGAAGCCTGGACTTAGGCGTCTATCACCATGAGACACCCCCCTCTGGTAGGCATCTCCTATTGACTAGCTTAGACAGTTCCCTGCCTAGTGTGCTGGCTTTTATGAATCACAGTTTAAGGTAACTATCTCTCCCCATTCATTGCACATGTGCTAGGTGCCTAAGTCAGGCTTTGTGCATTGCAGTGATTTCCCCATGTGCACAGCTCCTTTTGTGCATTCAGGCCTTAATGTCTAAAGCTTCATGCAAGGTATTGCTGAAGGCATATTTGCTGCCAGCTGTATCAATGCACAGTCTCCACGGGCCCCTAGAGAATTTGGAATAGGCATCAACAGCTGAAATATCTGAAGGCTGAAACCATAAATCATCCTTAAAATAACATGCTGTTGAATCCTCTAACAGCCTTAAGAATAATTCCATTAAAGATACTGAATTGATTCAAATGCCCTATTTGTATAAAAATGTTGTCTCAATAGCTTTTATATGAATCAACACTGGCATCCAGTGGACAACTGTTGGAAGCAATATGCCTTTGAGGCTGTACAGTTACTGTGATTATTGTAGAAAAGCCACTACAGAATATTTAAGTTACAGCCCATTCATGACTGCATTTTGGTTGGCGACTTAGTTTCTGACTCATGTACACTGGTTTTAATACTATATTGTATTTATTTGATTTTGGGTAATGTTTTGGTGTGTAATTATATGCTATGCTTCCAGGGCCTTTAGTTAAGAAATTTATTAAAAATACTGCAAGTTAGCATTTGGTAGGTTACCACACAATGGTATCCTAAAATACCACAATTACACCCCCCCCACCCCATATTTATATATATAAGGGTTGTCGATTAATCACAGTTAACTCACGCGATTAACTAAAACAATTAATCATGATTAAAAAATTAATCGCCATTAATCACAGTTTTAATCACACTGTTAAACAATAGAATACTGATTGAAATTTATTAAATATATTTGGATGTTTTTCTACATTTTCAGACATATTGATTTCAATTACAATACAGAATACAAAGTGTACAATGCTCACTTTATATTATTATTTTTTATTACAAATATTTACACTATAAAAATGATAAACAAAAGAAATACAAGTCCACTCAGTCCTACTTCTTGTTCAGCCAATCACTCAGACAAAGAAGTTTGTTTACATTTGCAGGAGATAAGGCTGCCTGCTTCTTGTTTATGATGTCACCTGAAAGTGAGAACAGGTGTTCGCATGGCACTGTTGTAGCCGGCGTTGCAAGATATTAACATGCCAGATGCGCTAAAGATTAATATGTCCCTTCATACTTCAATCACCATTCCAGAGGACATGTGTCCATGCTGATGACGGGTTCTGCTCGATAATGATCCAAAGCAGTACGGACCAATGCATGTTCATTTTCATCATCTGAATCAGATGCCACCAGCTGAAGGTTGATTTTATTTTTGTGGTCTGGGTTCTGTAGCTTCTGAATCAGAGTGTTGCTCTTTTAAGATTTCTGAAAGCATGCTCCACACCTCGTCCCTCTCAGATTTTGGAAGGCACTTCAGATTCTTAAATCTTGGGTCGAGTGTTGTATCTATTTTTAGAAATCTCACATTGGTACCCTCTTAGTGTTTTGTCAAATCTGCAGTGAAAGTGTTCTTAAAACAAACAACATGTGCTGTTTCATCATCCGAGACTGCTATAACATGAAATATATGGCAGAATGCGGGTTAAACAGAGCAGGAGACATACAATTCTCCCCCAAGGAGTTTAGTCACGAATGTAATTAATGCATTATTTTTTTAATGAGTGTCATCAGCATGGAAGCATGTCTCTGGATTGGTGACTAAAGCATGAAGGGGCATATGAATGTTTAGCATACCTGGCAATGCTGGCTACAAAAGTGCCATGCAAACGCCTGTTCTTACTTTCAGGTGACATTGTAAACAAGAAGAGGGCAGCATTATCTCCTGGAAATGTAAACAAACTTGTTAGTCTGAGCGATTGGCTGAACAAGAAGTAGGACTGAGTGGACTTGTAGGCTCTAAAGTTCTACATTGTTTTATTTTTGAATGCAGTTATTTTTTGTACATAATTCTACATTTGTAAATTCAACTTTCATGACAAAGAGATTTCACTTCAGTAGTTGTATTAGGTGAACTGAAAACTATATTTCTTTACAGTTTTTTACAGTGCAAATATTTGTAATAAAAATAAATATAAAGTGAGCACTGTACACTTTGTATTCTGTGTTGTAATTGAAATCAATACATTTGAAAATGTAGAAAAAATCAAAAATATTTAATTAAATGGTATTCTATTATTGTTTAACAGCGCAAATAACCGCAGTTAAACAGCCCTAATATATATAGCGCCATGGAAAATATATGTCAGGAAACATTCCAGCCCTAACTGTGAGATGACTTGAATAATCTAGCAGGTCCTTCCCATCTCTAGTTTATTTGATTATACGATAAAACAAAGATATTTAAGGATACTATTTTTCACTGTGCTGCACCTAGGTTATTGGACATGCAATTCATCCTGCACTAATACAGCTTTAATATTTCTTATTTTTTTCACTTCTATAAAAGGAGCTAAAATCAGACATACCTGAAGTGCAGTTGGGTCCAAATAAATTATCTTCAGCACAAGTTTCACAGGCTGTCCCACCAAATCCTTGCTACAGAACACATAAGGAAAGTCATTCTGCTATATAATTAAACATTTGAATACAAGCAGAGTAGCCATGCATAAGAAAATGTTATAATGCTGAAAGGACTATAGACAGCAATTTGGGAAAAAACACTGTCCCACCAAGATGAGGACTGCTCAAGTAAATCCCAGGTAAAATCTCCTTTGGCCAATTTTTCTCCCTCAAATGCTTATACATTAAACTTAATTTCTGTCAGTGACTAGCCATTATGTTCCCATTCAGAGCTCTGACCACTTCCACCGAAACTCAGAAGGCTTAAAATATAATCAAGAATTGCAACAGAACTTAACTGACTACTCATATCATTCTAATTACTAGCTAATCAATAATAATAATAAAAATGCCTCAACTCTACCCTGTTTCTCATTCTCCAACTCCCACCCATGTGCTCGAGAAAAGATGTGCTTTGCAGTGTTTCTAGAAGATTAGCCAAAGCAGCATGAGGTGGACCAATGTAATGGGGCTTACATGCACATATCAGGAAGAAGAATTTGACCTTTTATTTTTCCCTTCTGGGTGGGGTTATTTAACACCAACAAATGAACATTATAGAAACATTAAGGTAAATAGTCATAAGGAATCATTTGAAGTTTTATGTGAGCAGAAACTTAAAAAAACAAAAACAAAATAAAACCAACCTGTCCCGCCCCCAAACCATCTCTGCAGGCTATTTCTGAAATATTTTCACTTTATGTATTTTTCTGGCATAAATATGCAGTATTTCCTAGCTGTGATACACAATATCATTCCAAAAATTGAAAGGACATACTTGGCAAGTGCATTTTCCATCCCCATTTATACCCTGAAAACAGCGGCCTCTGTTATTGCATGGTGATGCAGCTCCTCCTGGACATGCTACAGAATAAAACATGTGACAAATCAACAAAACTGACTGTGATGGTTATACAGACAAAGTCCTTTATATTAGTGGTGGCGACTCTCAAAGGGTTTGGGGGAATCAGTTCAAATAGGCATCTCAAAGCATGGATTTTTTTTGAGTCACCTAAGTATCTTCAGTGACATCTTGGCCCCAATGAAGTCCCATGGACTTGAATGGAGCCAGGATTGACTATGCTGGACTGGAAATCTTGTGAGAACAATGAGAACAATTTTTCCTCTGGTTTGACCAGATGGAATGTGGAGGGGCAGACCTCCATGAAAATGAAATGAAAAGAAAAAAAATGTAGTCACACTTTTTTGAATTTGAATTTAAATTTCTTGTTTTAGTCAAAGGATTGATAGGCAATCTAGAAAGTGCTATAGTAGTCATTTTATTACAACATTTGCAGCATCCGGAGAGTCAGTTATTAAAAATTACACTCAGTGATCATATTTGAAGAGAGAGTCTTTTCCATACAGCATAGTAAAAACACCATACATTGGGATATTTGTAGATTGGACTATAAGGACCAGTCCTGCATTGGCAGAGAGGTAGACAAGATGACATAGTAGCTATTTTTCATCTTTACTCTTTATGATTCTCTAAATCAACATAATCTCAAATTTATGGGCGCCAATGTATAAAAGGATTTTCTGAAAACACAAGATGAGCATGGAGTTTAATATTTTGTATGGAGGGTTATATAAAATGTCTATTGGCTTAGATTTTCAAAAATAGGATCCTCAAGTTAGGCTCCTAAATCTATATTTAGACATCTCAAAATTGGGAAGATTTTCAAGACCTCTGCAGTTTTACTAATCAGCTTGTTTATTTAGATGCTTTAATATGGATATAGAAGATTAACTTTAGGTTAGAAATTCTTGGCCAAAGTTAAACTTCTATATCCATATTCATGCACCCGACTAAGGCCCTAATCTGGCAAACACATACACTTGTGCTTAACTTTACCATTGTGAGTAGTTTGGGGTTACTCGTGGAAGTACAGTTAAGCATGTGTGCAAGTGTTTGCAGGATTGGGGCTTAAGTGATCTGATTTCACAAGTGCTGATGTGAATGGGAGCTCTTGGCTGCTCGGCTCTTCTGAAGAAAACCTGGGCATATTTTTGAAAGTCTTGGCCATTACTCCTAGTGGTGTACTGAGAGGTGAAGAGTCCAATGTTTTCTAGAAAGATGGAACCCTTTGACCCTTTGGGAGAGTAAACATTCATTGAATAAAATCTCAAGGAATCATAGAAGGTATAGATGGAAAAAACTTATTAGCTCAGTTAGAACATCATAGTCCAACACTGGTATATTTACTTAAACTTGTTACTATAAATAAAATGGTTACTTAGAAAATAAGTTTCTTATTCTGTACAGTTTCTGTATTTCTATTTTATTTTTAATTTTTCGCATCCACTGTACTGTGGGTGAAATCCATCTCTCCCTGCATAAAGGCTAAGAAAATGGCCTTGTGCTGGGAATGGAGTTTGCCCTGCCCATCTCATGGTCAGGCTGGGATGTAATGCAATTGGGGCTGATTGAAAATGTTCTGTCAAAACTGTCCTTGGCAGAAAATTGGATTTTCATTTAAACAACTTGTTTCCCAAATAAGTATCTGCTTTCCATGGAAAATTTTGATTTTTCATCGAAAAACGGAAAGCCTGAAAACCAAAATATTTGGATATGCTGTCACAGTGCCACATGAGAACTGAAGTTTGGCTACCTGCTGTCTCCATTTTCTTCTATTGGCCAGGTTCTCCAGTTGAACTACATCACCCATGGTACACCATGGCCACCTCCCTTTGCCATGAGGGGTGACCATGGCGTATCATAGGAGAATTAGTCTGTCCAAGGAGCCCAACCTATAGAAAATGGGAGCATGAGGCAGCATGACAGCATATTTCAATATTCAAATTTTCACCAACAAAAATAAAAATTTTGCATAAAAATTTTTAGATTTTTAGGTTTTTTTGTTTTTGTTGAAATTTTCCACAGAAACCTCCCTGATTTTATGACTAGGTCTAAATGCAGCCTCTCAATGGCAACTATTCATAAGCTCCTCTACATAGCTGTGGAGCTTGTGGGCCCTTCTCTCATCTGCTGCAAAACATGCCAGCACTGAGCCTCCCTGGGGTAGTTTGTAGAGGAGACAAGACCCCATTCTGTGCTGCCACTTATAGCTCCCCCTGCTTCACTACTGGACTTAAATAGTAGAGAGGGCCTTGTGTTGGGTCTGTGTAAAACCGGTCCAAAAATTGCCAAGTTTTTTTCCATCAAAAAGGTTTTGCGGTCCATAATGGAATTTCGGGGGGAAGAGGAAAATGGGCAACACCCACCTCAGAATAGCCGGGCCATTAGGGTATTTACCTGCGATGGAAGTGACCCAGGTTCAAGTTCCTGTTCTATCTGTTTTGTCTCTTTCTCTGGCCCAATATTTAATTATTTATACAAAGGGGAACAGCTCCAACAAGAGAGATTGAGAAAGAGACCCAGGTTCTAATTCCTGCCCCAAATTATGAGGTGGCTCACTCTCGAAAGGTCTCACTTTTGTTCCGATGCAGAACAAAAAACACATTTTGAAACTTCAAAGTTTTTCCTGAAATGGAATTGTTGTGTTCCAGCCAGCCTTAGTTCTGTGCAGCGGGAGGTGAAATATTTACCCCGTGCAACGAGCCAGCATAAGATTAATGCACCACTTATGTCTAATTTAATCCTGACTTCAGGAGTTTAAGGGATCTGGAAGTCTTGTACTGTGCCTCTGCACAAGGGTGAATTGCAAGTGGTCTGAGCAGTGAGCAAATAAGTGGACGTGCACATGCATATGCATTATTTCTGTGAACACTTTGGCTGCATACTAATCTATCCCTTAAAGATGAGTCAGTAATCCAGTGGGAGCTATTGACTTTATATACACTTCTTCGATGAATCAGTCTGTAACAGATACAATTTTCAGTCCAATGTACCTTGAACGCATTGAAATCATAATGTTGTATTAAGATCTGAGATGAGATAACCAGGGACAAGGTAGAGCAATAAATACATGCTAGCACCAATGTCCTCATGGAGCTTCTAAATGTTTTCAAGATGTTAGGTCACAGATAAAAGTTATCCTTCGGGCTAATGATGATACAAATCAGCTAATCTATGGGCTGCATGGAGAGTAGTTTGTTGTTTTAACTCATTGCCTGCACTAGTGCCTTTGTTAAATGTGAAAGGCTAGCAAACGCAATAATGAGAAAGAACTCAGGATTTATATAGTAAGTACAAAATTCTGGTAAAACAAATTAAAAATGGTGGACACAATAATTCTTTAGCTGCTGATTTCATTCCATTTCCCTTTGACATCACTACCCCCTTGCCTCTTGTTTTGATACTGCCATAGCCAGTCCTTTATCAACTGTTTAGCAAATTATTGTATTGTTCTACAACTTTAGATAGACAGATAGAGCACTTCCACTTGATCACTATATTCCAGAAGGCCATGGTCTGGATTCCCCAGTCCCTTACACCAGTTTTACACTAGAGTAAATCCAAAGACTTCATCGTAGTCAGGCCTGCAAAAAACTGATGTAGATGAAGTGAAGAATCAGGCTCTTTCTTTATGTTAGTGTATCTTTCAAGAAATGGTAAGAAAGCTGCATTTTCCAGTTTAACCAACAAAAAGAGGTATGTGTGGTCTCTATAATGGTCTGAGCATAAGATTGGAAATGGCTGGGAGCTCAACACCTCTTAGAATCAGGTTATTTATTTTGATACCAAAAATATAGATTTAGGAGCCTAATTTTAGGCACCCATTTTTTAAAACCTTCAGATTTTTTTTTAAATGGGAACATTCAATTTTTGAGGTTTTCTGATTTTGAAATTGAAAAATTCTGTTCTTAAAAAAAATCCACTGAAAATTCAGAAAACAAAGCAGATCACCTGAAAACATAACTCTGAATCTGTCAGCGTTTCTATGGTTTTCCCCCCCCAAGTTTTTGGCCAGCAAGACTGCTTTATAGTCAGAGGTTTTTCTTTTTAGAAAAACATTTAAATACCTAAATTTTCTTGCCTCCTACAGTTTAATTCATTAAAACGAGTATCTTGACTCTGTTTTCCATTTGCCTTTTATACTACACAAGCAAGAGCAGAATGGACTTAATGTTGCCAGCCCTTTAGGAAACATTTTATGTCCTTCCACTTGAATTTGATTATTAGCTACATATTACACATTTTCCTAATCTATTTTGATTTTTCACTTAAATTTGTACAGCAAATAAAATTCTTAGGAATCCATATGGCAGTAGTAATAAATAGTTCATGTAACTAAAACTTAGAGAAAAAGTCAAATGCTGGGCATCTGTATAGGGTCCTATATATGATCTCTACTTTCTGGGGCTTGTTACTCTAACTTTTATGCCTCTGATGACTGTGTTAACTAGCTATGTGACAAATCTTAGTTTTCAGTGTTTTCTAAATACTGAGCAGAGTAGGTGGCCTTGGTATCTGCCGGATACTGATTAAAAATCTGAATGGCTGCAGGAGGGAGCGGGTGAGTGGTGCTAGTTTGCAGCAGGGATGGGTGATGCAACGGAGCAAGTCAGAGGGAGGGAGGTTCAAAAGAAAGATGGTCTAGAGGCTCTGTACTAGGACCTGGGAGACCTGAGGCTGAGTGCCTCACTCTGCTACTGACTGGCTGTGTGACCTTGGCCATGTCACTTAAGGCCCAGTTTTCGAAGGTATTTAGGTGCTTAAAGATGCAGATGGGTGCATAGTGGGATTTTCAAAAGTGCCTAATCCAGTTAGGCACTCAACTCCCACTAAAGTCAAGTCAAAGTCAAATCTGTGTCTTTAGGCACCTAAATACCTTTGTAAATCTGGCCCTGGATCTCTTTGTGCCTCAGTTGCACAATTGAGAAATTAGGATGATAATATTTTTGTGTTATGCAGGAGGTCAGCTAGATAATCATAATGGTCCCCACAGGGCTTAAAAATCTATGAAGCTCTGAAATGATATTGATTTTAACTGAAGTTTACTGAAGCATGTTTGGAATGCTCAATAAAAAGGGTCTCATGTCAGTTGTAATTTAATGTACATTCAAATGCAGCAGGCATTCTAGCTGTGATCTTAAAACACTAGGCCAAGATTTACAAATATGGACTGCTGAAAGTTAAGATTCTAGGTCCATATTTAGGTAAATGGCTTCAGTGAAAGCTTCTGGGTGCTCAGCAACTTTGAAAATCAGACATGGACAGGGGCTTGCTCATTTTTGAAAATATTAGTTGTGGTCCTGTCAGGCTTTTAAGAATGCATAAATTCTTCTCAAAAAGGAATTTATTCCAGCCTATCTGCTGAACGCCACCCCTCCCAACAATTTGGGCAGAGCCTCCTTGCCATCAATAGCCTGATATTTCGTGATGGTTCGTGTTTGGATTCAATATACTGTAGTCCATTTAAAATGAAACAGGAGTGTGGCTTTCTTGCATGGAAGGTTGGCGGTACTGGAATCCTGCAGCGTGCGAGGGAAGGACAGAAGAACACCAGTTGCTCCAATGTGGTCTATCATTTAAGGAAATAGAAGTGCAATTTAAGAGCTTATTTTGTCATCACCATCAAATACAAAAGATGAAGTATGCTCCTAGTCAGGGATTTTTCTTCTAGTTTTAGGAAGGAACTGCTTTCCTCTAAACTCTAAGACACAGTATGTTCTTAAACAGATTAAGATAAGGAAAGAAAATAGCACTTTTCTTTAAGTGACAGCAGAAACAATGCTTAGACCTTGATTCTTACACAGAGTTCCTTTTTTTCTGGCCAGGATGTTTATTAGAAGGAAAAGGGGGCCTCTCTACTTACTATAGAATCCCTTTAGCATGAATTCTGACACTGTTCCATTTCGAGTGAACTCTTCCATATTCTAAAACACATGCAGTCCATAACTTGGTGTCACAGAATACATTGCAGTGTATAAACTAATCAAGTATTGTTGTTGTCATTGTTGTACCATTGGGCTGGATTCTATGCTTTATTTTTAAAAAAAGACAATAACTAAAAAGTTGGCTTGTCACTCTGTGTTGTAAGAAGAGATCTAGCTGTGAGTAGGGTTTCTAGAACTGTGGTTCCAGTAAATATGGTCAGTGTTTAAACCGTACCTTTGCCTATATAGAAGATGATAATCTGTTAATATTCTTTTTGTCTATTTAGCCAATGTATAACTGCATGGGTGCTGGATCAGGCCCTGATTCACCCTGACTTAAACAGGAAAGGAACATATATAGCCTCAGAAAGACGTCACTAATGTATTTTGGTGAACAGTGAGGAATGGGAGTATTCCAAAACTGTAGGCTATTAAATGAGAAGGCCCTATGTCACACCTTCTCAGAATCCTGATATAGGATGTCAGCAAATCCAATACTGTAACAGGCATTAGGTGAGTAGACTATCCCTCGAGTATATTGGCCCTAAATTATTTAAAGTTTATATACTTGATGTAAGACTCTGAAGCACATACATCAAACAAGATGCTCTACTGAGCTGACAGCTCCTGACATATTTTGAAACTAAATCAGATTTACCATGCAAATAGTTTGAGAGGAAAAGACACATCATTGCCACACATCCACAGATATTATGTCAATAAAGTGAGTTTACCCATACAATCTGGGCCCCAATATCCCTGGCAGCACTCAGGTTGTTGAAATTCCTTCATACATATATGCCGACATCCAGGAAGAGATAAAGTGTAAGTCCTGATTTCAAGGTAATACCTGAAGACAAGAAGTTGCAGATACTTTAGAGAATTTAAACCTCCTGTGGGGACAAATGAAGTTTGTAACCTCTTCATTCTTTAAAGCCAGATAACAGAACTTAAAATTTACAGCCTCACGGTTCTGTTTTTTTTATTTTTCATGTAAAACATGGGATTTCCCCCCATAGTTTGTTGAAGTCCAAAAGCATCCTTGCAGCCATTTCTCTTGTACAATATGCCTGTCCTTCTTACTGTCTGTAGTTTGGATACTCCACAGTTGTCTAATATATATTTAGTCTAGAGTAGGATAAAGGACTGTGGCAAGATTATTTAGGAGGGATATCCCTGAAAAGTTTTGAAAACTCCATTTGAGTTTTTGACTCACAGGATTTGGGAGACTAAAACTGAATGCAGCATTTAACAATGGAAACGTCATCTCCAAGCTGGAACACATAATAAATACTACAGAATACAACTGAGAACCATTTTACTATACTACTCACAGAGATAAACTGAGAGGTCGTGTATACCAATACTTACATCCTCCCCAAGATCTCATCCAGGAGTAACTCTGAACATAAATTACCCTGGGTAAAATCCAAGATCCAAGTCAATGGCAAAACTACCATTGACTTTGATGGGACTAGGATTTCACCTTCTGTCTTGTTCTATCCATTGACACTTCCTGTTGAAAGATCTCTTGGCAGACCTAAGTGAGAGCTCAAAGGAACATTAACTCTATCTGTAGATTTTAAGCTCTTCAGGGCTCTTCTCACACTACGTATTTGGACAGTGCCTAGCACAAGAGGGCCTTAATTTTGGTTGGGGCCTCTAGGCCCCATTACTACTGTAATACAAATAATAATATTGTACCTATGGGTTCAACGCTTTCATAGTGCTTCTGTGATAGCTGCTCAAATGGGAGGAAGTAGATGAGGCATGAAAGTAACCGAAAACTTTCCACCACTTTTGATGTGAAAGAGACCAAACACACACTAAAGAAAAGCGCAAACCCAAGACACAAAGCAGTGCATAGGCACCGACTCCGTGGGGGCTCTGGGGCTGGAGCACCCATGGAAAAAAAAGTGGGTGCTCAGCACCCAACAGCCACAGCTGATTGGTGGTTGCTACCAAACAGCTGTTTGGTGGCACGGGAAGGGGGTTGGGGGAGTGCAGAGAGCAGCGAGCAGGCAGGGGCCTCAGGGGTGGGGGGTGGAGCAGGGGTGGGAAGAGGCGGAGCGAGAGCGGGGCCTTGGGCCAGAGCAGGGGTGGAGCACACCCCAGGGAAAACTAGAAGTCAGCGCCTATAAAGCGGTGGGTATTCTGCAGTCCTTGCTTCCACCTGATTAAGCAGCCTTTCTGTAAACTTCATGAGTGCTACACCTTGAATGTGGGGTTAGGACAATGAAGAACATATTTTACAGATTAACAAGGCATAGGTCATTTCTAATGCTGCTTAAAAATTTCTGGTTCAGGGTGAACAATATTTATAGTGAATAATTGTGACGGAAGATATACCTGCAACCTCGTATTCCAGATCCATTGGTCATTTTACTATAACCATCAGGGCACCGGATTTCAAGGTTTAGAGAGCAAGATCGGCATTCGGTTTTGGTTGTAATGAGCATCTTCTGATCACACTTATTCTTCACCTGTAAAAAGCCAGAAATAGGCTTAAATCATTAGGGTGACATTTTCAAAAACACTCACAGTTGGCCTAACTGCTCCCACTGGAGTCAATGGGAAATCCTGCTTTAATTCTTATAATCTTATTATGGGTACATTTTCATAACCACCCAGCCCCATCCTTCTCCTGTAGCTACAGTGCACTTTTTCAGTTTTGCTATCTTGCTCCCACCAGCCTAAAACAGGTTGTGGGGCCTGTCAGTATGATATAACGGCAGCCTTCTCTACAGAGGAGTCCTACAAACTATAGAATCTGACTCCTTATATTCCCCCACACCGTGTCTCATATCCCTGCTGGGATCATGATAAATCTTTGGTCAATAGTACTGAATATGATATCAATAAATGCTTGGTTTGGCAAGTTTGAAATGGAAACCTCAGTGAAAGCGCCTCAGTGTATGGGGTGTTAAATTATAAAGCTCAGTTAGATTTCCAAACCAGGGAGGAGGTCCATTATTTTCTAAGTATGGAGAAATTTTGTGATATTAGTTGACCCACTAACCAGCTCTTACAACGCCTAAAATGTCCTGTGCAATGTAGTACAATTTCAGTCAACTGGATGGAAAAGATCTGTGACGGAGCCAATTCAGAGAAGAGAATATAAAATTGGATCTTCGCTGAGGAAGCGTGTGTTGTTATTTAACCTGACTGCACTATGCCCCGTGAAAATGCAGTCTTTGCATAATAAAATATTTACCTTCCCCTAACCCAAGGACTAAGAAGGCAATATCGAGACCTGGGATAGGCAGAATTTGAGTTCAAGGATGAATCAGGATGATATTTCGGGTTTAGATTAGATCAACATGAAATCGTGAGAGATGTGGCCAAAATGTTTGTCCACATCTGAAATGAAAGGTAGACACCTTCTAGGTTTGGATCTGATGTGGAACTGAAACCATGCGAGTGAGTTTGGATCTGAACTCTCCGAAAATGAAAATTTGAAAAAGTTCAGATTCAAGGTTCTAGTTTGACCTACCTCTTAAAACAAAACCTTAAAACCAGTTGGTATGTCCAGACAATTAAAGATGAAGATGCTTGTAGCTCCAAGCAAAAAACTCCCAAAATGTATAACATTTTAGTTGAGGGCATGATTTTTGCACTAAGATTTTCCCCTGTGATTTCTTTATATAATGCAAACTATTTAGTATAGTGGTTTATCTATTTTTCTAAGGGTAAAGCTGCTTATTAAGAATAATAATTCCCCCCTGAATATTTCATTTTTTTAAAATAGAAAAATATTAATAATCATGATTAATATTAAATATTAGGAAAATATATAATTAAGACACTTCAGAAGCATTTACCCTCTTATCCCTTGCAACACTCATACAAAAGAGATAGGTAAGTATTCATATTTTACATATGGAGATGTGGAAACAAGTGACTTGCTCAAGGCTACACAATGGGTCAACTATACTGGCATGAGCAGAACTCAGGAATCTGTGTCTTCTTGCTCCCTTGTCTAGCCACTATAGCACACCTTTCAAAGCCTCTGATGGTCTTCTTTAAAACACACAGCCTTTCAAACTGTGCTCCTCAGTTGTAACTCTGATTAGACAACTCATTCAATTATCTAAGGACATAACCTTCTTATGCAATCAAGTAAGTCAGCTTTGAACAATACAACAACATACTCAATTCATCAGTCTGTACTCCCAGCTGTAGTTCCACTGATACAAATACATGAGTAAATGCTGAAGGATCTGGCCAGTTCACCTTAAGCTAGATGTACTTGCTGAACTGTTTATTTCAACATTTGTGTTTTTAATTTAATGTGCTGTTAGGTGCTGATCTACAAAGTTGCTCAGGAAAAGTCACTCAGAGTTTGTCATCTCAAGGATATCAGGATTTGGACTTTTAATATGCAAGCAAATTACTTTTAACAGGCGCATTAGTGCAAAAACAACTGGACTAAGATATTGGGTTGGCTTATTTCATTGAAATGTCAAAAGAACATTTTTCATCACCAATTTCAATTTTGATGAATTTTTTAAATTTTCAAAGATTTTGAAATGAGAAAATTCAAATAATTTTTTTTTTCAAAATTTTGGAAGTTATTGTTTTGCAATAGTTAGAAAATTCCCATTTTCTCTCCATTCCCTTCCTGCCCCCTCCTCCCGTTTGAAAAGGGGGAAGAAAGGTAAAAAGAAAAAGGCACTTTTTCACACCTCAAAGCAATTTTTTCACACGTTTCTAGTTGAAAAAGTAAAAAAAGGAGGGATAGTGGGAGTTGTCCCTTTTTCTGACACTCTCTTCCCCCCCATCTATTTCATTCCTCTAATAGTTTATTCAAACCTTTCCCCCCAGTTGTACTAGTGAGGACACAGTAATCCAAAATCATATGCTTTAAGGTAGTTCAAGTGAACACAAATTTTTTGATCAGTTCTCATTTCTATGGTTAGATCTATAAAACAATAACACTTTTCACTTCCCTAAATGTATGTTACAAAACACATTTTTGTGAAATTCCATAAATCCAGGAAATTTGCACTGGTTGTGTCACATCAGCATATACATTAATTCCAGAAATATCTACAAATCTCATGTTAAGTTTGCAACTTTTTGTGCATGTTAAAAATTATCAGGTTCTCTGGGACTGTTTTTCACCTGGCCAAAATAGCTTTTCACACTGGTGGAGAATAAAGAGTGCTGTTTGCTATGGAAAAAAAAACCAACTGTTTTCATCTTCTGATATAGTAGAAAATGTAATAACTTCCATTTTTTGCTTTTGGAGAATCATAATCAAACATCATCTATTGACAGTTTCACCAATGTGGAAATTTATTTATTTATTTGCACAGGTCTATTTATGGCATAGTTTATGGACCAGATTATTAGCAGGTATAATTGATTTCAATGGGGATATGCTAATTTACAACAGCTGGGGATATCTATTTATCCAGGAGACAGTATCACATAAGCATGGATGGATAGTGCAATGGGTCCCCCCCGCACATAAGACGCAGTATATATGAAAAAAATTACAGAACCCTTCTGTACTATACCACAAACACAATATATCATTATCTAAAAAATTTATCCAAAAGAAAATATAAGACTTTTCTTACCTGATCTGTGGGCTTTGGTGGTGAAGAGAGGTTATTTGCAACCAAAGAAGATACAAGGAATAAAACAACCATATGTTTTTCCATTATGAAAAACTGTTGATTTATTTTCTTCGGAACTCTTCAGTCATGAGTAATAATGCTATGGCTGAAAATGATCAGAGTTTTGGTAGCCTTACCACTTTACTACATTCCAGTGAAAAAACTAAAGTGACTTCCCTCCTTTTCCTGGAGAAAGCAATGAGCTAAACCACAAAGCACGTGAAACCTGCCCTTAGATAGGAAAAATACCAAAATACATGGCTTTTGCTGAAAGTGTTCACTGCAAAGCTGAATAAACCCTTCCTAATTGAATGACAGGATATCCTGATAGGACTCTGCTCTGCAGATCCCTCTCTCTGTAGCTGTTGACAATACAATTCCAAGGACACTGAATTGTGGTGAGAGAAGATATTTTTCTTCTTTTAGGTGGACATGAACTGAGGCTGGGAATAGCTGTTGATCTTGTTGTCACCACTTGAATGGGGTCAGGCAGAATGCAAACTTTATGGAGCTGGGTTTATCTGTTCTTGAAACAGAAGGGTGTATCCACCAACTGTAGCTCTTTGAGCAAAGTTAGAGACATTATCTGAGGTGGCCAAATCAATATCTTCTAGCTTTGGTCAGCTGGATAAAAGAAGGGACTTTTCCCCCTCCTTTGTTTTTACCCTCTTTGAAGCTTCATTACATCATTATGACTAATCTTTTACAACTGGTACAAAGAAAATTAATTCAGTCAACTTAGCTGTGTATAATAGGAAAGAATTAGTCGAAGGACATTTTGAAGAACTAAGGGAAGGAATTGTCTCTCTCGCTGTTTTCAAAGTTTTTCAGCTCCTTTTAATTCTTTCAATGTACGGAGCCCAGTCATTCTCAATCACAGAGGCAATGACCTATGTTTTCAAGAGAATCTAATGATTTTGGGTGCCTCAACTTTCGATTGCTTGACTTTATAAACCCATTATGCTTCTAAAGTTTTCAGAAAGTCCAAGGCACTCCTCTATATCATGGAAGACACAGCTTTGGTTTAATGCTAGTTAGTACTTTTACTGAAGTAAGCGACCAGATAGCAGCAGAGTTGAGCTGGCTTCTTTTATTCAGCTTGCAAAAATGCAGGTCATAACTATCTTGTTTTTTCCTTGTCTCTCCTGTTTTTCTTCCACAAAAAAGCCCACTGGGGCTACTCATTTTAAATTTGATACAGAATTGGCCCTAAACCAAACCCTGAATCTAGGTCTGAACTTCCTCCCAGACAGGCACCTCACTTCTATTCAACCCAACCTGAGGGGCTGTGAATAAAGGGGGTGGTCAAGTGAGCTGTACACAACTCCCATTTTGTCCTGGGTGCTAATTACTTTGTTACTGCCTGCTACTAATCAGGCAACAGACATTGTGCCTGCTGCCTTCCCATCCTGCTCATATCTGCCTTACCTCATGTATTTGGTTTGAGATTTAAGACTTTTAGGGAGAGGGAATTTGTCAGGCCCACAGGACTGTCTCCGAAATCTCAGGACTTCGGGCTGTCCAGCTACAGCCACCATAGCCATGAAAATATTTCATTTGGTACAGGAAGACTAGATAATTGGTTCCTTCCGAGGCAGGCAGAAAGCATGACAATTTGCAAGTTCTCAAGTCTTTGTCTTTCAGGTTCTCTGAAATATTATTTTGCAAATCAAAAAACAAAACAAAACAAAAGAACTTGATGCCATGCTTTTCAAAAATGGCAGAGACAAACCTGGACGTAAAGGACATCAAAGTCACAGGCCTTTCCGTTTCTCATTACAAGCAGCTATGGTTCTGCGCCTGGCTCCTGAGGAGCTAAAAGATCCACTGTTGTTTTGCCTCTTCACATTTGTCTATAAATCAGGCAAGAACAGACTCGCATGCGGTTTCCTGTGCTGCTTGGTTCTGCTGGGGCTGAAGCAGTAGGAGAATAGATCCCACTATGGTATTTCAGTAGTTCTGCTTACAGGAAAGCAGGAAACACCGGCTTTCAAGGGAAAACAGAAAAGTAATGGAGCTGTGTTAAACCTTAACGTTTTTGTTCCTGTTCATTCTGGGGCAGGTCTTGAAGTTATCCACACTGGTTCCCCTATCTCCAGTTATAATGTAAAGGCAAATATTGTGGAGCAGACATGACACTATCACAGGTAAAAATGAGGTTGAAGAACAGAATAATTTCTCTAAAAAGAATATCCCTTGGATTGTGCTGAAGGTGCTCAATTAATGTTGTAGGGTGCACTATACAGTACTTGGAAATAGTGCTCTCTTCTTTATCACTTTTGGGTTATCACTTACCTCTGTTGTAACCACATGTGCCTCTTTGCTCTACTGGGGATTCCAGGTGCTTTGCATGTGAAAGGCTCTGGCTGGACAGTTTTCTTGATCCTTTTAGACATACTGTACCCGCAACACTAAATGTTGCCTAAATTATGGCTTCTGTATGGACTTTATCTTGTTAGAAATCATTAAACAAATAGATTGGCCTATAAATCTCCAAGCTGTCACCTGTCAGGTTGGACTCTATATTGTTTACCTAAAGAATTCAGTTCTTTAAAAACAAAAAATTGTTGGTGGGGAACTGACAGGGCAAAGAGCTTTCCTGTGCACTCATCAGATCCTGTTCCTTTCCGCTACATGATGAGGAAAGTAAACCGTTTCTTGTTTATGTAGACAAGCCAGCAGCCAGAGTACACAATGTATATATTGAGGGCACATATGACCATGTGGCCCTGAGGACTATCATTTTTCCTTTGTTAGGTCAAGCTCTTCCACACAGCTTCATTTTTGTGTGCAATATTGATCATGCCTGGTCTGAGCCAGAGACATCACGAATCTTAATTAAAGGCCAGATTTTGTCCAGTCCCTATGTGGGGAAGATCAGAAGGGCATCTCTCTGATGTCCCGCTAAGGGGATGGGTTCCTCCATTCCCAACGAACCACAGGTTGAGGAGGCAACACATCCTGAAGAAAAAACTCCAGCTGTCAGCCAGAGAGTTTAGGAGGAGACCTATTGGCCCCTAGATTCTACCTCCTTGGCAATTGGCGGATGAAGGGATGTCCCTACTGTCTATCTTCATCTACCAAAACTCAAAAGGTTGGCCTTTTATTTTTTTCAAAAGGAAGGATCCCCAATCCTCAATCCTCCTGCCCCATGCACATGCTGGAGCTGTGTGAGCCTTGGGAATCTTCCTTTTCCCATCACGCTCCATGATATTGCATTATTGACTGGCCAGCACATGAAAATGTTTTCGAGGGACAATTCTCCAAATAAGCAGGAATTCTGGGAGCAAAAGGCCTAGCTGCAGCTAGGACAGCAGCCCAGGACTTGAGTATGGGAAATAGGGTTGCCAACAGTCCCTTCTTACAAGGAACGCCCCTTATTTTTTCATCTCTGGACAACAAGGTCAGGAGTTGCTGAGTGTTTCAAAAAGCAGCAAGAAATATCCCTGGTGAATGCAGGTGAGTACTACTTATTAATTATTAATTATTATTTATTATTATTTTATTAATGATAATAATATCGGCAGGAGGAGTGGGGCAAGGGTGCTAAGAGAACAGTCCCTTATTTTTGAAATACGGTGTTGGCAACCCTGGGAAGAGTGGCTATCTGGGAAGTGGCAGTGTTACCTGAGTTGTGCCCAGGTTTGCCCAAGACTGGCTATATCATTGCATAGTAATATGTTCTCAAATGCCAGCTACTGTAGCAACTGGAGGTTAGAATGGTTTGTTCCTTGTTGTCAGTTCAGACACTGCAGTGATAAGAGGAGTGGAAATCAGGCACTTCCCTTTCCTGTGCTGCAGATCAAGAAAAAAAACAACATTAGTCAACTGCCAGTTATCTGCTGTGTAACACCTCTTGTAGCCATTCAGATGGAATAAAGCCTCTTTCACGTTTCTTGCTTCCCTCCTATCTCCCGCATGTCAGAATACAATATTTTCATTTACTGCTTCAATTACTCATCTCCGACTCTGGATAACTCAACACCATCTTCTCTTATTGGTATAGTGAGTTACTGTGCTCCACAGGGGTTACACATGGAATATGTTAGACTGCAATGGAAGTAATTAGTAGCTCATTTCTTTATCTTGATGGGGCTAAATCCTGCCCCAGCCAGTGCAGTGATGCCCAGCACAGATGCAGCCTAGCACAGCATCTGACAAATGGGATAGGTTTGCTTGGGGAAGGCTGGGGCTCCATACTTTGATGCTAATCTGAGCATTCCTGCCAGCTGGTACACATGCTGCTGATGGCAGCGTACTCATTAACCAGCTTTAGGACTTGGCTGTGCTTCGTAACCCACAGATAAAACTCCCTTGGTGATGTGATGTGTGTGCAAGTGCACTAGATGGACTCAAGTCCTAGTGTGGTTCTGTGTGCTATGGAAGGAGACTGCCATGCTGTTTCTATAGGGAGGAAGTTCCACCTGCCACTTTTCACTCATAGACTCATAGATTTTAAGGCCTGTAGTCTAGCATCTAGTCTGACCTCCTGCATAACACAGACCATAGAACCTCCCCCCAGTAATTCCTTCATCAGACCCACTTGTACACTGGCACTATGGAGGGTAGGGCTGAGGGCACAATAAGGACAGGAGACAGGGTACAATTTTCAAAAGCGTCTACAAGACTTAGGAGCCTAAATCATATTTTCAAAAGTGAAAATAAGGAGCAAGAAACGTCTGACAGTTATACCACTATATCACAAGAAGTGGAAGAGAATAGCCACAACTCAGAAGACATTCTACTAGTTCCAATATCTCTTTTTAACGTCAGTGATCCTTCAACATGGCCCAAATTCATAGATGACAAAACAAGAATAACCATAGTGAAACATGGACCATTGCAAGTTAAAGGTAAAAGTTTCCCAAGTCACAACAGAAGGTTTACAGAAGAAAATTATGTAAGAAAATTGAAAAATGGAGAAAATGTACAACAACGGTATGTCATATTCAGGTAATGTGAATGCAGTGTTTTGTTTTTGTTGCAAATTATTTGGTGTTGGTAAGCACAGTCTCACTGATGGCGGTTTTTGGGAATGGCAATATATATCTGCAAAACTCTTGAAACTCATGAGAAAAGCCATGTTCACACTGGAAATATGGTGAAGTGAAGATAATTGGAACAATGACTGAAAACTGAATCTGTAATTGACTAGACTTCACAACCATTGCTCAAAACTGACAGACAACACTTGTGAGGTGTATTTGAAAAAAATGTGGCCATTGTTCTTCACTTAGCTGAATGGAACCTAACATTTAATGGAT